AAGTCCGAGCCGAAGCTCTTCCTGAGCTGGAGACGAGCCTCGCGGATCCAGTCGATCAGCACCTCAGTGACCTCACCCTTGCTGCGCAAGGGGAGGACTGTGGTGTAACGCGAGTAGTCGTCAACCACCAACAGGAAGTAGCGCTCGTAACCCTGCCCACGGACGGGGGCTGGGCCCCACACATCCATGTGAAGCGTCTGCAGGGGAGCCTCTGTCGGGGGGAAGTGGGAGGAGTGAGGAGTAGCCCGGAGGCGACCCTCGACACAGGGGACACAGGAAGGTCCTGGCCCGGAGGGGAGAGGAGGGAGAGACTGGGGAAGACCAGAGACAAGGACACGGGAAGCCATGCTCCGAAGACGGGGCAAGGAGGGGTGACCAAGACGGTGGTGCCACAGGAGAGTCTCGTGAGACAGGAGGCGACAAGTACAGGGGGCAGACTCAGGACCAGACCTGGACGCAGCAGCAAACACCTGACCCGACGCTGCTACCTGACCGGACGCGGGGACAGGAGGAGACTCAGTGGTCAGGGTGTAGAGGCTCGACCCCGGCCGACGCGAGAACGTGGCCAGGTGCCGGCCTGTGCGTGCGTCCGTGCAGTGGGTCACCCGCTGACTCGCAGGAGTGAACTGGTGAACCCCCGCATCCTGTAGGTCTGCACCACTCACCAAGTTCGTCGAGAACGAGGGGAGGTACAGGCCAGACAGGGTGCCCGAGGGGGCAGCCGGACACGGGAGGACAGTGGAGAAGTGAGCGAGGACAGGACCCCCAGAGGGGTCAGCCAGGGAGACTGCAACCGGCCGACCAAGCGGCGTGAGTGTGGTGCGGTCCCGAAAGAAGGAGCGAGAAGCCCCAGAGTCAAGTGTAAAGGTGAGGGAGGCCGAAGCCAACGCGGTACCTGAGAGGGCAGCCTCACCCGCACCTGAGGAAGCAGACTCACTAGCACCTAGAGCAGCAGCCGCACCTGTACCTGGAGCAGGAGACTCACTAGCACCCAGAGCAGCAGCCTCACCAGTAGCTAGAGCAGCAGGTCCTATACCTGGGTCAGGCGGGACGCACAGGTGACCGGCACTGTCAGCACTAGTAGGCAATGCATACATGGCAGTGAGAATAGCATCATAGTCAAGAGCATATATATCTACCCTCTGCCTAAGTAACTCCACCCAGTCGGGAAGCTCAGCCTCGTCGCCAAACACGGTACGCCAGGCGTCGCTCAGACGGGCGAAGCAGCGGGACGGTGTATGACTACGTGTCCCACAAGGCTGACCAGTCCGAGTACCAGTGCGAATCACGTAAGAGCAGCGAACAGCACTGAGAGACCCTCCACTCTGAGCGTACCACTCACGAAGCTGGCGAGGCGTGAGAGACACGCGAGAGGGTCGCGGGAGCTGCATCTGGCCGCCACCACGAGTAGAAGCAGCAGGAGTGGTAGTAGGAGTAGCGTCGCCACCCCTACAGCCCCAACCAGCGTACCACTCACGCAGCTGCTGGGGCGTGAGGGACTCACGCCGGCGTCGCTGGGGCTGCATGTGGCTCCGCAAGTAGAAGCAGGTGCAGGACTAGCAGCAGGGAGGCAGGCAGCCAGGCAAGCCAAAAGGCAGGTAGGCAGGCAAGCAGGCGACGCGCAGTGTGCGAGCAGGGCAAGAGCTCACCAGTGGTGGGAAGAGTAGGCTCGGCGACCCAGCGGCTCGGCAGCTCGGGCGACTCGGGCGGCTCGGCGGCAAGGCGGCTCAGCAGCAACTGCAGCTCAGCAGCTCGGTGACTCGGCGGCTCGGCGGCAGGGCGGCTCGGCAGCAACTGCAGCTCAGCAGCTCAGCGACCCGGCGGCTCGGCGGCAGGGCGGCTCGGCTGTGGGGCGGCTCGGCTGCTGCAGGTGAGCGGCTCGGCTGCTGCAGTGGGAGATGAAGGAGGAGGAGAAGCAGGGGAGGCCACACACCTGCCACCCCTCTGCTGGCCTCTCAGGTCGCCTTGACAGGCGACGGGAAAAGGGGGGGTGGGTGGTGGGGGGCCGGTAGGTGCAGCGGCGGGGCCAGCAGGTGCAGTTGCGGGGCCGGTAGAAGGGGACGGCAGGAGCCGTCAGGAGTGGACGGCGGGGCCGTCAGGAAGGGACGGCGGGGCCGTCACGAAGGGACGGCGGGGCCGTCAGGAGGTGACCGGGCCGCGACGGGGGCAGGCGGCGGGGCCGCGTAAGGGCCTGGGCGGGGCCGCGACAGAGCCGTCGGCGGGGCCGCGTGAAAGCCGGGGCGGGGCCGCGTAGAAGCCGGGGCGGGGCCGCGCGAGAGCAGGCGGCGGGGCCGCGAAGGAGCCGGGGCGGGGCCGCGTGAGAGCAGGCGGCGGAGCCGCGTAAGGGCCTGGGAGGGGCCGCGACAAAGCCGTCGGCGGGGCCGCGTGAAAGCCGGGGCGGGGCCGCGTAGAAGCCGGGGCGGGGCCGCGCGAGAGCAGGCGGCGGGGCCGCGAAGGAGCCGGGGCGGGGCCGCGTGAGAGCAGGCGGCGGGGCCGCGACAGAGAGGGCGGCGGGGCCGCGTCAGTGAAGGCGGCGGGGCCGCAGGGGAAATGGCGACCCGAGGGGTCGCTAAAAAAAAGATCGCGCCTCGGGGGGCGCTTCGGTGGGCCCAAAAAAAAACGGTCCGTAGAAGGACCCGCTCTATACCATGTGAGAATAAGCGAACAGGGAATGGATGAACTAGCAGTGAAAATGAGTACAAGTATGAAACCCTAGAATTGTGTACCCCCTATAGGCTAACCCACTGTAGCCTACACAAGCATAACATATATAATGTTTGACAATTTCATATGGGAATGAGTACATCAATCTCGTCCAATAATACATACAAATTCATACCACTAGTGCTACCATTAGTGCTACCACTAGAGCTACCACGACATACTAGAGCTTGGGTGGGAGGGTGGGAAACTCAAACTTTGAAATTAGAAAAGACGAACGTGGGTGAGGCCAAACGGCCTCAACCCCCTCTTTTGTACCCAAAAGAGGGCGAGTAGCGGTGCAACGCTGCCCTTGATGCGTTGGCAACCACTCCACTTTCACAATACGCAATTTGAAAAAGTGAATACAGTTAAAAAAAAAAAAATGTGTTGAAAACACTAAATCAAACTGTGCCATATTAAAAGACCCGGGTGTCATTTTTTTTTTTTTCCTTTGTTAAGATCCCCCCAGATTTTTTCTAGGGATTTAGCATAAGACCCTAGGGTCTTATACCCAGGGGAATACGGTACTTCGATTCATTGCACCCGTAACACAAACCTATAGAATGAACTCTTGCTCACAACCAGAAGAATCGAAATTCTGGCTTTTGAATGCTGCGATCAGATGTTGATCAAACTCAGGATCACCTCAGGAAGGTTCGCACACTACTGATCTAGTGGTGGTGGGCCCTTGACCTCAATAGCAGAGTGAATGTAAATGCTTGAGATGATTAAAACATGCAAGTACAAGGAATATGAATAAGAGTACAAAGGAATTTGAATCGACCTAGCTAGCCATGTACTCTAAGGGGTACATTCCCTTATTACAGCGAAATCCAACCGTGCGACTCCAGGTGGTTACGAAACTGTTCGGGCAGAATCCTCGTCACTGCTGCTGCCTGATGCTGTCTGCCTGACGGTCCAAATGCTTTCGTAATCGTACGACCCTTCGTGTTACTTCCGCCTGTCAGGCATATATGCTATAGTCTGTGTAGGCTGTAGTGGGGCAGTTCATATGGGGTACAACACTTTAGGGTTTGCTACTTGTACTCCCCTTTCTGCTCAATGCATTCATTCTCGTTTCTCGTCATGGTATCGAGCAGGTTCCCTAGTGGGAACGCTACCTAGGGCCCACCACGATACTTTTTTTTTTCCTGCCCGGAGCGCGCTTCACTCCTGCCCGAGTCGCGCTCTGTGTGCCCTCCCTACCTTCGAGCCGCCCTTAGTGGCCCCTCTCACGGCCCCTTTGGCCGCCCTTACGGCCCCTCGCGCCGCCCTTACAGCCCCTCACGCCACCCTCTACGACCCCTCGCGCCGCCCTTACACCCCCTACGGCCCCTTAAGGCCCCTCGCGTCGCCCTTACGGCCCTCGCGCGGCCCCTTTCGGCCCCTCGCGGCGCCCTTTCCGACCCCTTACGGCCCCGTCTAGGCCCCTTGCGACCCCGCTACGGCCCCGTCTAGGCCCCTTACGGCCCCTCCGCGGCCCCGTCTAGGCCCCTTGCGGCCCCGCTACGGCCCCGTCTAGGCCCCTTACGGCCCCTCCGCGGCCCCGTCTAGGCCCCTTTCGGCCCCGCTACGGCCCCGTCTAGGCCCCTTACGGCCCCTCCGCGGCCCCGTCTAGGCCCCTTGCGGCCCCGCTACGGCCCCGTCTAGGCCCCTTACGGCCCATCCGCAGCCCCGTCTAGGCCCCTTGCGGCCCCGCTACGGCCCCGTCAAGGCCCCTTACGGCCCCTCCGCGGCCCCGTCTAGGCCCCTTGCGGCCCCGCTACGGCCCCGTCTAGGCCCCTTACGGCCCCTCCGCGGCCTCGTCTAGGCCCCTTGCAGCCACCACGTGCGGCCCCGTCGCCGCCACGTGCGGCCCCGTCGCCGCCACGTGCGGCCCCGTCGCCGCCGAGAGCGGCCCCGTCGCCGCCACCAGCGGCCCCGTTGCCACCACCTGCGGCCCCGTCGCCGCCACCTGCGGCCACGCACCCGCCACCTGCGGCCTCGCCGCCACCTACGGCCCCGTCGCCGTCACCTGCGGCCCCGTCGCCCTCCCCTAGCGGCCCTGTCACCGCTCAGCCGCACACCGACCGAGCCGCCGAGCAGCCCAGCAGCCGAGCCGCCCTGCCGCCGAGCCGCCCAGCAGCCGAGCCGCCCTGCCGCCAAGCCGCCCAGCAGCCGAGCCGCCCAGCAGCCGAGCCGCCCTGCCGCCGAGCCGCCGAGCCGCCCTACTGTCGAGCCGCTGCTGTTCCTACCGGTGCTCCCCGGCCCTCCTTCCTCGGACTGGTGAGCTCACATCCTGCTAGGCCACTGCAGTCATGGCTACCCCCAGTGTCCTTACTTTTGATGCGGAGGGCCGTGCCGTTGACTTTGAGGTCTGGGTCGATGACCTCCAGCTATTTCTCCAGTGCGATAGGGCAGACGGACCCTCTCTGTTCGATCTCACCTCTGGTGTCTCTCCTGCCCCGACTGCCACTGCTGACAGCACTGTTCGCTCACAGTGGGCCACACGCGATGCTGCTGCTCGCCTTGCTGTGCGTCGCCACTTACCGACCACTGAGCGTGCACACTTTAGCCAGTACAAGAGTGCTCAGACCTTGTACGACGCTGTAGTTGCACGCTACTCTTCCCCTGCCACTGCTGCACTGAGCCGCCTCATGCTACCGTACCTCTTCCCTGACCTTGCTGCCTTTCCCACAGTCGCTGACCTCATTACGCACCTCCGCACTAGTGACACTCGCTACCGCGCTGCGCTTCCTGCTGAGTTCTGCGCCAAGAACCCCCCCCCCATGTACATCACCCTCTACTACATAGTCACCCGGCTCCCAAACTCTCTTTGCGTAGTCAGGGACCACTTCCTCACAGTTTGCCCCACCACTCTCACCGTTGACCTCCTCGAGAAGGGCCTCCTAGCAGCAGAGAAGAGCATAGTCGCTGTAGGAGCCTCTCGTGGTGACCCTCGCACCCCCGTCTTTGAAGGGTGTTCCCCCTCCCCCCTCTTGCCCTCTGTTGCTCATGCTGCTGCGGCCGACCTCGTTGGTTTCAAGTCGGTCGGCGCTGCGTCTGCCCCTAGCGGGAGACGCCGTACCGGCAAGGGCAAGGGGGGCAAGGGCGTTGGAGGGGCTGGCGGGGGCGGTGGAGGTGGTGGTAGAGGCAGTGGAGGGGGTGGGGGTGGTGCTGGGAGTGGTGGCGGGGGTGGCGGCGGCAGCGGAAGCAGTGGAGGCGGAGGAGGCGGCGGTGGTGGCGGAGGGAGCGGAGGCGGCGGAGGTGGGGGAGGAGGCGGAGGTGGAGGAGGCGGCGGAGGCGGCGGCGGCAGCAGTGGACCTGGTCGCGGCTCTGCGTAGAGGAGTGGCTGCGGTAGTGGTACGCACCAGCAGCAGCAGAGAAGTCGTGAGACCCTGTCCCCTCAGCAGCTTCGTGAGTGGTATGCTGCGCGTCAGCGCGGTGGGGGAACGGGTCCGTGCACCTACGTTCTCTACGAACTTGGTGAGTGGAGCGGACCTACAGGATAGGGGGGTTGACCAGTTCACTCCTGCGAGTCAGCGGGTGACCCACTGCACGTGTGCTCGCATAGGCCGACACTTGGCCACGTTCACCCGTCGGCCAGGGTCGAGCCTGTACACCCTTACTACTGAGTCTCCTCCGGCCAGTGAGTCTGGCCAGGTAGCTGCGTCGAGTCAGGTGTTTGCTGCAGCGTCCAGGTCTGGTCCTGAGTCTGCTCCCTGCTCGTGTCGTCTACTGTCCCACCAGACTCTCCTTTGGCACCAGCGCCTTGGTCACCCCTCCCTGCCTCGTCTCCGAGGCATGGCCTCTCGTATCCTTGTCTCTGGTCTCCCTCGGTCTCTCCCTCCCCTACCTCTGGGGCCTGGCCCTACCTGCATCCCCTGTGTCGAGGGGCGACAGCGCGCCGCCCCTCACTCCTACGACAGAGGCTTCGCTGCAGACTCTCCACATGGACGTGTGGGGCCTCGCCCGCGTCAGTGGGCAGAGGCGCGAGCGGTACTTCCTGCTGGTGGTTGACGACTACTCGCGTTACACCACTGTCTTCCCCTTGCGCAGCAAGGGTGACGTCACTGAGGTGTTGATCGACCAGATCCGCGCAGCTCGTCTCCAGCTCTGGGAGAGTTTCGGCTCGGATTTTCCTGTTCAGCGTCTGCACTCGGACAGAGGCGGGGAGTTTTCCTCTGCCCATCTGGGAGCTTTCTGTCGTGCGCAGGGCATCCGCCAGACGTTCATGCTTTCGGCCTCTCCACAGCAAAATGGGATTGCTGAGCGCCGCATTGGCATGGTCATGGACGTCGCTCGTACGTCCATGATGCATGCGGCTGCCCCCCATTTTCTGTGGCCGTTTGCGGTTCAGTACGCCGCGCATCAGCTCAACCTTCAGCCCCGGGTCTCCTTGCCAGAGCCCTCCCCCGCCTTGCGGTGGACCGGGAAGGTTGGCGATGCGTCTGCGTTTCGGGTCTGGGGATCTCGGGCGTTTGTCCGCGACTTGTCTGCGGACAAGCTGTCCCCCCGTGCTGTTCCGTGCGTCTTCCTTGGCTTCCCCCTTGACGCGCCTGGGTGGCAGTTTTACCACCCCACCTCGCGCCGTGTTCTGTCCTCCCAGGATGTCACCTTTGACGAGTCGGTGCCTTACTAGCGTCTCTTCCCTTACTGCACTGCGCCCCTCCCCCCGCCGCCGCTCTTCCTTGCGCCAGGTCCTCCCCCGGTAGACCCCCTCCCCCCTCAGAGTCCTGCCCCGTAAGGTGTGTCCCAGGTAGACGCAGTCGAGCCTGTCAAGGTAGCTGTTGACTCTGGTGCTGCTAGAGGTGCTGAGCCTGCGGGTGCCGGGTCCAGTGGTGCTGAGACTGGGGGTGCTGAGCCTGGGGGTGCTGAGTCTGGGGGTGCTGACTCTAGGGGTGCTGAGCCTGGGGGTGCTGGGTCTGGGGGTGCGGAGCCTGGGGGTGCGGAGCCTGGGGGCGCTGGGTCTGCTCGTGTGTCCGCCGGCGGTGCTTCATCAAGGCGGGAGCCGCTCTCTCCACAGGAGCTGTGCGAGTGGTTTGCCCGCCGCTGGGGACGTGCTGCTGGAGGTGGAGGTGCTCCTGTTGCTGCTGGTCCCGAAGGTGCTCGTAATGGCAGTCCTCGAGCTGCTGGGGCCACTGGAGTTGGTCCTGCTAGAGCTGCTGGCGGTGCTGGTGCTGCAGGAGCTGGAGCTGCTAGGGGTGTTGGCGCTAGTGTTTCTACTAGCACTGGTGGGTCTGGGGGTGCTGCTGAGGCTGCTGGAGCTGGAGCTGCTGGAGCTGGAGCTGCTAAGGGTGTTGGCGCTGGCGATACTGCTGGCACTAGTGCTTCTAAGGGTGCTGGAGTGGGCGCTGTTGGAGGTGGAGGTGCAGCTGGCGCTAATGGTGCCGCTGAGGGTACTGGTGCTGTCCTTGCTGGTTCTAGAGGCGCTGCGTAGAGCAGGTTCTTGGTCTCCCGCCCTCTACTGGTCCTGCTCCTCCCTTAGAGCGTCCACAGCCTGACCAGTCCCAGTCACAGTTACAGCCCGCCTCCCCTCTACCTGCTCCTTCTCCCTACACTGGTCCTACTGGAGGTCTTACTGAGCGTCGTGAGCCTGCGTCTCGTCCTGCGTCCCTTGTTCGTGCTGCTCGCACTAGTCGTCGTACTACGCGTCTGCGTCCTCCTGCGGTCCCCGGCACACACCAGATGGCGCTGCGTCCTTCCACTGCTCCTCTGCGTGTCCCGTTACCATCTCCTCCAGAGTCCTCTCTTCCTACTCTTGCTGACACGGAGTCTGACTCTCTTCGTGCTGCTAGGCCTTCTGTCACGCGTCTTCTGGCTACTGTTGTCACTGACCCTTCCTTTGAGTCCACTGCTGCGTCTGCCCTAGTAGCTGAGCTTGTCGACTTCGCTGCTCGCTGTCGCCTAGACTACGCTGCTAGTCTCGTTGCTGAGTCTGAGTCTGTCTGTCCTCCGTCCGTCGGGGGTGAGTGTGCTCTTAGCACGGACGTCCTTGAGGACAAGCAGGAGGAGTTCCAGTGCTTTGCTGCTGCTTTGCCCCATCTCGTGTCCACGATGATTGCCCCTGAGGGAGACCCGGATGCACCAGACATCCCGACTCCTCGATCGTACGCTGAGGCGATCGAGGGTCCCTACCCCTCTCAGTGGCAGTCGGCCATGGACGCAGAGATGGCTTCCTGGAAGTCCACAGGCAACTATGTTGACGAGGTTCCCCCACCTGGGGCGAACATCGTTAGTGGGATGTGGATCTTCAGGGTGAAGCAGCCGCCGGGTTCTCCGCTTTTCTTCAAGGCGCGTTACGTGGCTCAAGGCTTCAGTCAGCGGTAGGGAGTTGACTACTTCCATACCTTCTCTCCCACCCCGAAGATGACCACTCTTCGGGTGCTGCTGCACATAGCCGTTCAGCGCGACTACGAGCTTCTCTCTCTTGACTTCAGCACAACTTTCTTACAGGGCAGCCTGCACGAGGAGATCTGGCTGCGCCGCCCACCTGGCTTCACTGGGTCGTTTCCTCCTGGTACCCAGTGGAGCCTCCGGCGGCCAGTCTACGGTCTCCGCCATGCACCCCGTGAGTGGCACGACACACTGAGGACTACACTTGCGGCTCTTGGGTTTGCTCCTTCTACACCCGACCCGTCGTTGTTTCTGCGCACCGACACCTCTTTGCCGCCGTTCTACATCCTCGTGTGCGTCGACGACTTGGTCTTTGCCACAACGGACACTGCTGGACTCGCCCACGTGAAGTCCGAGCTGCAGAAGAGACACACGTGCACAGACCTGGGTGATCTGCGCAGCTACCTTCGCTTGCAGATCACCCGGGACAGAGCACAGCGCACCATTACCCTGACTCAGTCACACATGGTGCAGCAGGTCCTTCAGCACTTCGGCTTCACGTACTCCTCGCCTCAGGCCACTCCTCTGTCTACTCGCCACTCGCTCTCAGCTCTGCCTTCGTATGAGTCCGTAGAGCCGAGTGGCCCGTACCCAGAGCTTGTTGGCTGCCTCATGTACCTGATGACCTGCACACGACCTGACCTTGCATACCCTCTTACCATCTTGGCACGCTATGTTGCTCCTGGGAGACACCGACCAGAGCACATGGCTGCAGCGAAGAGGGTGTTGCGCTACTTGTGCAGTACGTCGGGCATGGGGCTAGTGCTTGGAGGGCGGCGTCGAGTGGTCCTCACAGGTCACGCAGACGCTTCTTGGGCTGACGACCAGGCTCTGCAGCGGTCATCACAGGGTTACACCTTCAGCCTTTGCTCCGGCTCTGTTTCGTGGTGGTCTACCCGCTCGTCTTCTGTTCTCAGCTCCACCTGTGAGGCTGAGATCTACGCAGGGTCCATGGCTGCACAGGAGCTACGCTGGCTCACCTACCTGCTGACTGACCTAGGAGAGCCGCCTCGTTCTCCTCCAGTTCTGTACGTAGACAACAAGGCCATGCTGGCCGTGTGTCGGGAGCACAGACTGGAGCACAGAACGAAGCACATTGCTCTCCGCTACTTCCTGGCTCGTGAGCTGCAGCAGCGTGGTCAGCTCCGCCTCACCTACGTGGCCTCCGAGGCCAACACTGCTGATATCTTCACCAAGGCCCTTCCGCCTTGTGATCATCAGCGCTTCTGTACTGTGCTAGGTCTTGTGCCTACTTGGCCTCACTTGCTCACTTCTTGACCTTGCTTGTACTGTCCTCTTTCTATACGTGCATTTGCTTGTTTACCTTTATATATATGATCTTGCATGTGAACTGGCCTTGTGGCCTTGCTCTTGTGCTCGGACTGTGTGGTGACGTTGTGATCCACCCTGAGCTTGCTTTGCTTTGCTTGACTGGTCTTGTTACCCCTTGTTCTCCCCCACTCTGCCTATGGGGGTGTGTCAGGCATATATGCTATAGTCTGTGTAGGCTGTAGTGGGGCAGTTCATATGGGGTACAACACTTTAGGGTATGCTACTTGTACTCCCCTTTCTGCTCAATGCATTCATTCTTGTTTCTCGTCACCACCCGTTTGACTTCAACCTCGGTAGTGTGTGCTTCGCTTGCTACGGTGAGGAGTGAACAGTGATGTTTCAGTAATTACTATTCGTAACACCCCCCTTCACTCCTGGCCGTAGCAGGTCTTGACCCGTTTGACTACGCTGCTGAGTTCGGAGCAGTGCTGGTACTGCTGACGTGACAGTTTCTTCGTGAGGAAATCTGTTGCTATGTCACCCGTCGGGGAGTAGGTTAGGTCAACCTTGCCCTTGTCAACTTCGTCCTTGACGAAGAAGTACCGCAACGCAATGTGCTTGGTGCGGTTGACAAAACCAGGTTTGTTCGCGATTCTGATCGCGCTCTGATTGTCTGAGTGCAGGCGGAAGTTCGTCGAGGCCGGAATTTTTGCCTCTTGCAGCAGCTCCTGAAGGTAGAGGCCTTAACGAACAGCTGCTGTTGCTGCGATGAACTCCGCTTCTGCCGATGACAGGACAACCAGCTCCTGCTTCTGTGAATTCCAGGAGATGAGACCGCTGGGCTCGAGGCGAAAGAGAAAGCCCGTCCTGGACCGTCAATTGTCGGGATCGGCGGCATGATCAGCGTCCACATAGCCGATGAGGTTGAAGGATGCGGTTGGGATGGTGGAGTAGCAGAGCCCAACATTGGGCGTGGAAATGAAGAATTGGAGTGCTCGCTGAAGGTCTGAGAGAATCTCAACCGTTGGTTTGCGTGAGTACTGGGCCAGCTGACTTGCGATGTAGGATAGATCTGGCATGCAGTCGACTGAGGCAAAGAGCAGGCATCCCAACTGTTGCTGGTAGGTCTGAAGCCCAACTGGGGATAGGGCTTTGTTGTCAGGCTTATGGTTAGATTCTGGAGTGCAGTAAGGGGTGGCGAGCGGTGCAGGTGCAATGTTGAAGCGCTCGCCAAGTTCTTCTGCGTACTTGCCAGCTGAAAGACGAATGGCTTCCGGCGAGTAAGCGATGTTGAGGCCGAGGAACTGCTTCACGTCGTGGTTACAGGTGATGTCGATGCGCCCCGCGAGATTTTTCTCGAACTGCTCAAGCAGCTCGGGGCTTGATCCTGTATAGAGCAGATCATCAACGTAAACTGTTAGCGGGATGTATTCGCCGCGAAAGTCGCGGCGGTACATCCCTGGTGTCAGAACATCATAGCTTACTTATTTGTGTAGGCTATAGTGGGGTATCCCATAGGGGGTACAACCCAATTAGGGTTTCATATTTGTACTCACTTCATTCATAGTTGATTCATTCTCGTTCAGTTTTTCATATGGTATCAGAGCAGGTTCCCCTATGGGAACTGTGCCTAGAGCCCACCACTCGAAATCCTTTTTTTTTTTCCTCCCCGAAGCGCACTCATCCTGAGTCGCGCCTCGGGCCACTCCTTCCCCGAGCCGCCCTAGCGGCCGGCCTTACCCTCGCGGCCCCGCCACCCAGTGAACGCGGCCCCGCCGCCTCTTCTCTCGCGGCCCCGCCGCCCAAGCGCTCGCGGCCCCCGCCGTCCCTGATCTCGCGGCCCCGCCGCCCGAGTCACCCTCCTCACTAATGGTCACAGCATACATGGCAGCAAGGATAGCATTGCACGGAGGCTAGCACGGGTCATCACCTGGCTACGTTTACACGTCAGCCAGGGTCGAGCCGGTACACACTGACCACTGCTTCTCCTCCAGGTGCTGAGTCTGGTAGAGTCCCTTCGTCTGGTCAGGTGTTTGCTGCAGCGTCCAGGTCTGGTCCTGAGTCTGCCCCCTGTTCGTGTCGCCGTCTGTCTCACGAGACCCTCCTCTGGCACCACCGTCTTGGCCACCCCAAGCGCTCGCGGCCCCCGCCGTCCCTGATCTCGCGGCCCCGCCGCCCGAGTCACCCTCCTCACTAATGGTCACAGCATACATGGCAGCAAGGATAGCATTGCACGGAGGCTAGCACGGGTCGTCACCTGGCTACGTTTACACGTCAGCCAGGGTCGAGCCTGTACACACTGACCACTGCTTCTCCTCCAGGTGCTGAGTCTGGTAGAGTCCCTTTGTCTGGTCAGGTGTTTGCTGCAGCGTCCAGGTCTCGTCCTGAGTCTGCCCCCTGTTCGTGTCGCCGTCTGTCTCACGAGACCCTCCTCTGGCACCACCGTCTTGGCCACCCCTCTCTGCTTCGGCTCAGAGGCATGGCCTCCCGTCTTCTTGTGTCTGGTCTCCCCGGTCTCTACCTCCCCTTCCTCAGGGCCCTGGCCCTGCCTGTGTCCCCTGTGTCGAGGGGCGCCAGCGTGCTGCCCCTCACTCCTCCCAGTTTCCTCCGACAGAGGCTCCGTTGCAGACGCTTCACATGGACGTGTGGGGCCCTGCCCGCGTCCGTGGACTCGGTCACGAGCGCTACTTCCTGCTGGTGGTTGACGACTACTCGCGTTACACCACAGTCTTCCCCTTGCGCAGCAAGGGTGATGTCACTGAGGTGTGTCAGAATATTATTCTTATGTTCTAGCCTGTAGTGGGGTGCTCTATAGCGAGTACAACCCTTCTAGGGTTTGCTATTTGTATCCCCATTTCTGCTAGTTCATTCCTCTTTTCTTTCTTCTAACTTTTGTCATGCTATCAGAGCAGGTCGATCCCCTTGGATCGATCCTGTGGGTGGGTTTCCACCTCGCTTCCGCTGCTACCTTTCCTTCCCGCCGTGCACCCCGAGGCGCGCGGCGGTTTTCCTTCCCGCCGTGCGCCCCAAGGCGCGCGGCGGTTTTCTGCCCGCCGTGCGCCCCGGGGCGCGCGGCGGTTCTTTGCCCGCTGTGCGCCCCGAGGCGCGCGGCGGGCGTCTGCCCTACCGTCGCGGCCCTGCCCCTCGTCGCGGCCCCGCCCCGACCGTCGCGGTCCCGCCCCTTGTCGCGGCCCCGCCCTCCAACCAGGCCCGTGGTGGGCCCCTTTCACCACACCGCCCCCCCCCCCCCCCCCCCCCCTTCCCCCTGCCATTTCCCGTCGCCCGTCGCGGCTCCTTCGGGGGCCGCAAGCGGCCCCCTCAGGTCGCCTCAACGGACGACCTGAGGGGCGAGCTGTGGGGTGGCGGGTATGGGGGTGGCCGGTGTGCCTTCCTCCCTTGCTCCTCCTCCTCCTTCGTCTCCCACTGCTGCAGCTGTCGCTGAGGGGGGTGGTTGTGTGGGAGACTGGGGTTTAGGGTTTAAGGGGGGGTGCGTGGGAGTAGAGCTAGCGGTGTAGCAGTGGGGGTGTATCAGGGGGGTGGGACTGTTTGCGGGAGGTTGAGCGGAGGCTGCCGGCTTGTCGTCCGCAGCACCTGTAGTCCGGGGCGCTGTCCCGGTAGCCCAGTCGTAGCCAGCTGTGCCAGCCGCCCGTGGGTCCGTTGCCCGTCCGCCGCTATTTGAACCGCGGGGCCAGTTACTCCTGTAGTCCGGGCGCTGTCCGGTAGCCGCTGTGCCAGTCTGCCTCCTGTTGCCCGTGTGTCTGCAGCTTCAGCCGTCGCCTCCTATCTCCTCTCCCCTCACTCTCTCTCCTCCTCCTCACTTGCCCGTTGTGACTACCACTAGCTTTGCTTATAATTGTGAACTCTAAACTATTTCTTCTTGAACTTGTGCTCAGAATGTGTGGTGACATTGTGATCCACCCTGAGCTTGTTTTGCTTTGCCTGCTCTGCTGATTACACCCCACTTTGGCTATGGGGGTGTGTCAGAATATTATTCTTATGCTCTAGCCTGTAGTGGGGTGCTCTATAGCGAGTACAACCCTTCTAGGGTTTGCTATTTGTATCCCCATTTCTGCTAGTTCATTCCTCTTTTCTTTCTTCTAACTTTTGTCAAGGTGCTGATCGACTGGATCCGCGCAGCTCGTCTCCAGCTCAGGCAGAGCTTTGGCTCAGACTTTCCTGTGTTGCGTCTGCACTCGGACAGAGGCGGAGAGTTCTCCTCTGGCCTTCTGCGTGCCTACTGTCGTGCGCGAGGCATCCGCCAAACCTTCACGCTTGAGGACTCCCCGCAGCAAAATGGGATTGCAGAGCGCCGCATTGGCATGGTCATGGACGTCGCTCGTACGTCCATGATGCATGCGGCTGCCCCCCATTTTCTGTGGCCGATTGCGGTCAGATACGCAGTGCATCAGATCAACCTCCACCCCAGGTTCTCCAGGCCGGAGACCTCCCCAACGCTGCTGTGGACGGGGAAGGTTGGCGATGCGTCGGCGTTCCGGGTCTGGGGATCTCGGGCGTTTGTCCGCGACTTGTCTGCGGACAAGCTGTCCCCTCGCGCTGCTCCCTGCGTCTTCCTCGGGTTCCCCCCCGACGCCCCTGGGTGGCAGTTCTACCATCCCACCTCTCGACGTGTTCTGTCCTCCCAGGACGTCACGTTCAACGAGTCGGTACCCTACTACCGCCTCTTCCCCTACCGCACTCCGTCCCTCCCCCCGCCCCTGCTCTTCTTGGTACCAGGTCCCCCCCCGGTAGACCCCCTCCCCCCTCAGGGTCCAGCCCCTTCAGGTGTGTCCCAGGTAGACGCGGTCGAGCCTGTCGAGGTTACTGGTGACTCTCGTGCTGCTGCGGGAGCTGAGCTTGGGGGTGCTGAGACTGGAGGTGCTACGCCTGCGGGTGCTGAGCCTGGGGGTGCGGAGTCTGGAGGTGCTGAGCCTGGGGGTGCTGAGCCTGGGGGTGCTGAGCCTGGGGGTGCTGAGCCTGGAGGTGCTGAGCCTGGGGGTGCTGAGCCTGGGGGTACTGAGCCTGGGGGTGCTGAGCCTGGGGGTGCTGAGACTGGGGGTGCTCCGCCTGGAGGTGCTTCGTCTCTCAGAGAGCCACTCTCCCCTCAGGAGCTACGTGAGTGGTTTGCAAGGCGCTGGAGGCGTGCTGCTGGTGTTGGTGGTTCTTCGGCTGCAGAGGGTACTGCTGCCGAGCGTCCCGGCGGTGCTCGTACTGTGGGTGCTGGAGCTGCTGGGACTGAGGGTTCTCCTGAGGCTGGTGCTGCTGAGGGTGTTGACGCTGAGACTGCCGCTGGAGGTCCGACTGGTGGTGCTCCTGGTGGTGCTGCTGGAGGTTCTGGAGCTACTGGAGATGCTGCAAGAGCGGGTACTCCTGCTCGGGGTACTGGTGCTGTCCCTGCTGTTTCTGGCGTCGCCGCGCGGCCCCGGCCGTACTTCGTTCCGCTCCTGCAGCAGGTTCTTGGTCTTACACCTTCTCCTGGTCCTCCTCCTCCTCCCTTAGAGGGTCCACAGCCTGTCTCGTCACAGTCACAGCTACAGCCTGCCTCACCTTTGCCTGCTCCTTCTCCCTACGCTGGTCCGACAAGAGGTCTTACTGAGCGTCGTGAGACTGCGTCTCGTCCTGCGTCGCCTGTTCGTACTGCGCCCACTAGTGGTCGTGGTTCACGTCAGCGTCCTCCTCCTGTCCCTGGCACGCACCGGATGTCTCTGCATCCGTCTACTGCTCCTCTGCGTGCCCCTTTGCCTTCTCCTCCTACTTCCTCTCTTCTTGCTCTTGCCGAACCGGAGTTGGACTCTCTTCGTGCTGCCAGTCCTACTGTCACGCGTCTTCTTGCTACTGCGGTCACTGACCCTTCTTTCGAGTCTTCTGCTGCGTCTGCCCTTGTCACTGAGCTCGTCGACTTTGCTGCGCGCTGTCGTCTAGACTACGCTGCTAGTCTTGTCGCTGAGTCTGAGTCTGCCTGTCCTCCGTCCGTCGGGGGTGAGTGTGCCCTTGGCACGGACGTCCTTGAGGACAGGCAGGAGGAGTTCCAGTGTCTGGCCGCCGCTTCACCTCATCTCGCGTCTGTACTGCTAGCCTCTGAGGGAGACCCGGATGCACTAGACATCCCGACTCCGCGCTCTTACGCGGAGGCGATAGAGGGTCCCTACTCGTCTTAGTGGCAGGCAGCTATGGATGCAGAGATGGCTTCCTGGAAGTCCACAGGCACCTACGTCGACGCTGTTCCCCCTCCTGGGGCGAACATCGTCACTGGCATGTGGATTTTCAGGGTGAAGCGGCCGCCGGGTTCTCCGCCTGTCTTCAAGGCGCGTTACGTGGCTCGTGGTTTCAGTCAGCGGCAGGGGGTTGACTACTTTCAGACTTTCTCCCCCACCCCAAAGATGACCACTCTTCGGGTACTACTGCACGTTGCTGCTCACCGTGACTACGAGCTGCACTCTCTCGACTTCAGCACAGCTTTCTTGCAGGGCAGCCTGCACGAGGAGATCTAGCTGCGTCGCCCACCTGGCTTCACTGGGTCTTTCCCTCCTGGTACCCAGTGGAGTCTCCGGCGTCCAGTCTACGGTCTCCGCCAGGCGCCACGTGAGTGGCACGACACACTGAGGACTACGCTTGCGGCACTTGGGTTTGCTCCTTCTACTGCGGACCCGTCGCTGTTTCTGCGCACCGACACCTCTCTGCCGCCGTTCTACATCCTCGTGTACGTCGACGACTTGGTCTTTGCCACAGCGGACACTGCTGGACTCGCTTACGTGAAGTCCGAGCTGCAAAAGAGACACACGTGCACTGACCTGGGTGAACTGCGCAGCTACCTTGGCTTGCAGATCACCCGGGACAGAGCACGCCGCACCATTACCCTGACTCAGTCACACATGGTGCAGCAGGTCCTTCAGCGCTTCGGCTTCACGTACTCCTCGCCTCAGGCCACTCCTCTGCCTACTCGCCACTTGCTCTCAGCTCTGCCTTCGGATGAGTCCGTAGAGTCGAGTGGCCCATATGCAGAGCTTGTTGGCTGCCTCATGTACCTGATGACCTGCACACGACCTGACCTTGCATACCCTCTCAGCATTCTCGCACGCTATGTTGCTCCTGGGAGACACCGACCAGAGCACATGGCTGCAGCGAAGAGGGTGTTGCGCTACTTGTGCAGTACGTCGGGCATGGGGCTAGTGCTTGGAGGGCGCAGTCCAGTGGTCCTCACTGGGCACGCGGACGCTTCTTGGGCTGACAACCAGGCTACGCAGCGGTCGTCACAGGGTTACACCTTCGGCTTTGGTTCCGGCTCTGTCTCGTGGCGGGCTACTCGCTCGTCTTCTGTTCTCGGCTCGAGTTGTGAGGCTGAGATCTACGCCGGGGCTATGGCTGCTCAGGAGCTTCGCTGGCTGACCTACTTGCTGACCGACCTTGGAGAGCCGCCTTGTTCTCCTCCAGTCCTGTACGTAGACAACAAGGCCATGCTGGCCTTGTGTCGAGAGCAGCGACTGGAGCACTGGACAAAGCACATTGCTCTTCTACTTTCTTGCTCGTGAGCTGCAGCAGCATGGACAGTTGCGACTTGCGTACGTGGCCTCTGAGGCCAACACTGCTGATGTCTTCACCAAGGCACTTGCGCCTTGTGATCATCAGTGTTGCTGCACGCAGCTGGGTCTTGTGCCTGTCTTGCCTCACTTGCTCACTTCTTGACCTTGCTTGTACCTTGACCTATATATACTCTTGCTCTTGCTTGCTTGACTCTTGTATATTTCTATATATGATCTTGCATGCGAACTGGCCTTTTGGCCCTTGACCTTGCGCTCGGAATGTGTGGTGACTTTGTGATCCACCCTGAGCTTTGCTTTGCTTTGCTTGACTGGTCTTGTGACCCCTTGTTCTCCCCCACTTTGCCTATGGGGGTGTGTCAGAACATCATAGCTTACTTATTTGTGTAGGCTATAGTGGGGTATCCCATAGGGGGTACAACCCAATTAGGGTTTCATATTTGTACTCACTTCATTCATAGTTGATTCATTCTCGTTCAGTTTTTCACACCTGGATCGTGAGGCAGCTGCTTGAACCCAATTTCAAGCAGAATGTTGGGCAGGTGCTTTTGCCAGAGCCTCGGCGCCTGTTGAATCCCGTAAAGAGATTTGCGTAGCTGGCAGACACGTGGATCCCCGTCGCCGTATGTGTGCGGCTGCTCCACGTATATCACAGCGTCCACTAATGCGTACAGGAACGCATTCTTCATTTCAATCTGTTGGAGCGGTAGGTGTCGTGCGGCAGCGATGGCAAGCGGGATCCTGACGGAGGTATGACGGCTGACTGGTGCGAATGTCTGATCGAAGTCAATGCCGTGCCTCTGATCATAGCCGCGCACGACCCATCGCGCCTTGAACTGCTCGATCGTCCCGTCAGCCGCGGTTTTCATGCGGAAGACCCATTTGCCAGAGAGGATCCTCCTCCCTTTAACTGCTGCTCGATCAACAAGTACCCAGGTGTCGCGTGACTCCAGCGCTTTAATTTCCGCATCCATTGCTTTGTGCCACTCCTTTAATCGCCGCAGTGTCCCACGCTGAGAAATTCGCTGTAGACTTTCTGCAGTTTGGCGTAGCGATTGGTGCCTGGGTCGAGTAAGGGGAACGGTTGGTGGCTTAGCGTGGCTTTGGGGCAGACGGTGCAGTTGCACGGGTATGGTTCGCCTCGTACTTTGGTGCCGTCAGGGCGCAGAAGTGCGCCAGGGGCGAATACGCCAGCTTCGATGCAGTTCTTCAGAGTCATGCGTGAGGGGTGACCTAGGCGCTGGTGCCAGATGGCGTCGTCAGCGCGGAATCCGGAGGTGCGCATGCAGCGCGCCAGTGCTTCTGCGGGATCCTCTTCAGGAGCTTGAGCAAGTGCCGCCGCTGCTTCCTGTGAAAGTTTGAAGAGAGAAGAGTGTTGCACTAGCAAGAATGAGGATACAAATAGCAAACCCTAGAAGGGTTGTACTCGCTATAGAGCACCCCACTACAGGCTAGAGCATAATATTCTGACACACCCCCATAGCCAAAGTGGGGTGTAATCAGCAGAGCAAGCAAAGCAGTACAAACTCAGGGTGGATCACAATGTCACCAAACATTCTGAGCACAAGTTCAAGAAGCAATAGTTTAAAGTTCACAATTATGAGCAAAGCTAGAGGCTATCGCAGAGGGCTAGTGTAGAGGAGGAGGGACTATGAGAGGAGAGGAGGTAGTGGGCGGCAGCTGAAGCTGCTGGCACACGGCGCAACTGGAGCAACTGGCACACTGGCAACTGGAGCAACTGGCACACGGGCTACTGGAGTAACTGGCTCCGCGGCTAAAAGTAGCGTCAGACGAGCAACGGACTCACGAGCGACTGGAGCAACGGGCTCACGGGCGACTGGCGCAACGGGCTCACGGGCGACTGGCGCAACGGTCTCACGGGCGACTGGAGCTGCTGGCTTCTCGGCGGCCACCCCCTTCAACCTCCCCAAACTATCCCACCCCCAATTCACACACCCCCTACTGCACCCCTACGGTCACTCACACCCCCACCCCCTAGCACCACTCCGTCGACTCCCACACACCCACCCCCCTCAGCGGCAGCTGCAGCAGTGGGAGACAGAGGAGGAGGAGGAGGAGCAGGGGAGACCACACACCTGCCACCCCCCACTCGCCACCCCCAAACCCGAACACAGGGCAGGGCGGGATGGCGAGTAGAGAGGTTACGGGGGGGGGGGCGGGGCCGACGCGCGGCCTCCCTGGGCGCCAAAGTAGGCGGCAGAAGGGGCGACGCTCGCCCCCCTCCCCCAGGTCGCACCTCGACAGGCGACGGGAAAAGGGGGGGGGGGGGGGCGGGGGGCGGTGCACGTGCCCCCGGTGCGCCGCGGCTGGCGACGAGGCATGGCCGGGGCGGGGCCGGGGCCGCAAGTGGCGGCGACGGGGCCGCTGGCGGCGACGGGGCCGCTGGCGGCGACGACGGGGCCGCTGGCGGCGATTCGGGGCCGATAGGAGCGGCGACAGGGGCGACGGGCGGGTCCCCGTCGCCCGTCGCAGCGCCTCCCGGGGGCGACGCGCCGAGTGACGGGGCAGAAAACCCGTCGCGCGCCTCGGGGCACACGGCGGGCAGAAAACCACCGCGCGCCTCGGGGCGCACGGCGGGCACAAAACCGCCGCGCGCCTCGGGGCGCACGACGGGAAGAAAAACTGCCGCATGCCACGGGGCGTGCGGCACAGAGAGTAGCAGTAGCAGTAGCAGTTGCAGCGGAAGCAACGAGGTGGTGAGCCCACCCACAGGATCGATCCTAGGGGATCGACCTGCTCTGATAGCTTGTGAAAGTTAGAAGAGAGAAGAGTGTTGCACTAGCAAGAATGAGGATACAAATAGCAAACCCTAGAAGGGTTGTACTCGCTATAGAGCACCCCACTACAGGCTAGAGCATAATATTCTGACACTTTCCATCTTCTTTGCCTTCTTCGTTCGAAGTCGTCAGCATAAGAGCAAGGAATTCCTTGTCGCGGATGATGGAATAGGGGATGTTGGTCCCTGGGATCGTTTCGAGGACTAATATCGGCTCGCACAACTCGGGGGCAGGTCCGTAGATAGTGCGTCGCGGAGTGGATGGTTCGTTGCCCCAATCGATGGTGTCCCAAGGGTCGCGCTCCGGCTGGATATTAGGTGTAGGTAATGCAGGTGCAAAGTGGCGCGGTGGGCGACCAAGAGGGACAATCGCAGAAACTGCTGCTTCTTCTGCTTCTTCTTCTTCCCCCCTTTGGTCCTCGCGAGAAGCTCCCAAGCCTTCACCTGAGGTGCCCCAACCGCTTGTTTCGTCGCCATGTGTGGCGCCCCATCCGCTAGTGTTCTCGCCAGTTGCTGCGCCCCAGCCGCCAGTGTCGCTTGTTCCCCATCCGTTCAGGCCCCGTCGGCCCCGTCACCGGAAGGAGCACATGGATGCAGCTAAGAGGGTGTTGCGCTACTTGTGCAGTACGTCGGGCATGGGGCTAGTGCTTGGAGGGCGAGTCCCAGTTGTTCTCACTGGGCACTCAGACGCTTCTTGGGCAGACGACCAGGCTACTCAGCGGTCGTCTCAGGGTTACTCCTTCAGTCTTGGCTCTGGTTCTGTTTCTTGGCGTTCTACTCGCTCTTCTTCTGTTCTCAGCTCCAGTTGTGAGGCTGAGATCTA